GTTTTTTTTTTTTTTAATCTCTGGAATCTCTGTTCTTTTGTGTGTGTGTTATTTTGTTTTTGTTTGTTTTTTCTTTTATATATTATTAGCAATTTGTAAACTTATCAGACTCACTGGGAGTCAGATGACATATAAATGGTTTGATGCAATCAGCCAGATGTTCAGACTGAATATGGCATTTTTATCTACAAGGACCTTATCATATTCCCAAGGACCTGGGATAGGCAGACACAGACACTTTATGGTGTTAGAGGCATTGTCACATAATGTAAACTGCTACATGTAAAACTGCCTTTTGCAATTGACTGATGGCAAATTTGCCAATTCTTATGTTCAATTGGTATTCCAGGTGTTTTGGGAGTGCACCAAGGCCACTATCATTATTGGTACTACCTTTGATTTCTTTTGACACAGTTGTTAATAATTATTGTCAATTAATATATTTCAGTGGTCAAAGAATTCCTCATCCTGCCATGTACTGCATTTTTTTTCTCCAAAACATGTCTTTGTTTGATATAACATCTGGAATATGGGAACAAGTATAAATAGAAAAAGTTGGGAAAGAAAAATATTTATGTAATTCACAATTGAAGGAATATGCCATTGTATTTTCCTCTCCCCCTCCCCAGTTATCAACCCAAATCATTATTTTTGGTCTTGGTCACAAGTAGGAAGACTTTAAATTGCAACCTTAAAATCTGCCATTAGAGTCACTAGAAACAATGATATTGTAGAATAAAATTATTCTACTGCAATCTAATTATTATATTAACAGCCTGCCATTTTTTTAGTGGAATCTTGAAATCATGTAGATATTGGTCTCCATAGACTATGACTCCATTAGAAGAACTCCATGAGATAGGATAGGCTGAAAGAAATAGCAAAGGGCTCAAAGTCACCATCAATGTGTTCTGAACTAGGCTTCCCCAGCAGCACGAAGCAGAGTCCTCATCCCGATAAACCCCTTTTATTTAATTTACAGTGAATACCTCTCCAGCAGTGTCTTTCCTCCCCCCCAGTCTTTCAAGATAGTTCACAATTACCAACCTTTATCAGGCTTGGAGAGTGGCCAGGCTGACATCTTTCAGATGCCACAATACTTGTCAAAAATGCAGCAATGAACTAATTGTCTCCTGCAAACACCCCTCCCCTTTCGCTCCTCTTTTATTCCCTATGGGAGGGGCATTCACTAGCCTTACTCCCAAGTTGACCCTTGTTAGCTGTTCCCTTTATCTGGCAACACTGTGCATGTGCACATTGGGAACAGGCTCCAGCTGTTCATCTGCCTCACTGATGTCTGACTCTGAAGGCAGCTGATAACTGTCGGACAGCCCTGGCCCCATCTCTACCTCCATCACAGAGCACTCATCAGAGCCTTCCCCAGATTCCAGAACTGGTCCATTTTCCTCCCCAACCTCCTCACTGTCCGAATCTGCTGCCAGCTCCGATGCCCTCTGGCGGGCCACAACACAATGCTCTGTAGTGAACTGAAACCTGGCCCTTGTCAAACCCAAGGCCAGTATCTTAACCACAATACCATATGGGCCTTAGGATATTCCTAAAAGACTCTTGAGTCTCATTCTCAATTGTATCCATACACATTCATTGAGAATGCCACTTCCCATTGCCAGTTGATTTGCCACTATGAAAACAGAGCATTAGACATTTTCATAGGATATTTTATATTCACTTTTAATCTACTATGTATCAATGATTTTAGATGTTACAGGGCAACACATTTAGAGAGTTAGAAAGAATTGGTTAGTGGTACATATCAAAACCATGAACAAAATTGTCAAGCACATTTCAGATTAAACTCATATTGAATTTTATTGGAAGAGGTCTTAACTAGCACATCCATAGATGCTTCCTACATTATTTTAGCAGTTCCTGCAAGTGAAATAAATCCACTTTGATCACAATCATATACAGTAAATGAGCACTGGAACGGATGGCTTTGTAAATCAATGTGTTAAATAAATGAATAGGCCAAATTTTGTTCCTATTTATATCTAAAAGGTTCAGTATTAGTTACTTTTACTTATTTTCAGTGTTGTCTTTTACTGAAGTGAGATTTGCTGAGGTATTATTTGGGAAAGGACATATTAATGAAACCAATAATTATAATTGTATCTCCAGATATTCTAATCAAATATTATCTCTTTTTTTTACATTACTGCAATATCATGGCTAATATGCTTGGATTGGACTATGCCTTCAGCCAAGTTTCAGGCCTACCTTCTCAGTTTTATCATTCTCTGAGCAGAATAATCCTTTCTCATTGCTCAGTTGCTCTGGTCAAATCCAATACCATCTTCTCAGTTAATGTTAAGTGACATAAAACAGATGCCTGATTAATTTTCTTTTGTACTTACAGTTAGGATGTTGTCAGAAATAGCAAGGTGTAAGTACTGCTGACAAGGAAGACCCCATGACTTATTCTCTACTACAAAGAGTAGCAGTTTATCTGCACAGTTCCCCAGGTCGGGGAGGGAGGGGGAGGAATGGACTGATGTGCATTGCCATGATGTCTAGTTTCTATGGTTACATGCTCAGACAGAATTGCTAAGCATCCAGTAATAGAAAGTGGCTAGGAAAAGGCTGGAGAATACCAATGCATGATGTAATTCCTACAAATATTCTCTTATTAAAGCAATAATCAAATAGCAAACAAAATCTGTGTGATATTTGTTTAAGAAATGTTTTAAATATTTTCTTGAGAGTCTCTGTCCTTGTTAACATAGTTGACAATGAACAAAAGGAATTTTGGACCCTCTGCATATTAACTATTAGCTTTTGACATTTACACAGAAAAAGACAAGATTTAGACCATTCTGTCTTAAGAATATGATTTGCATTTACACCTTCTGTAGGTATATGTGTGCACACTGCAGTTCCACTTATTATTTTAGAACAGAATTTTGTATGATTATAAAAGGCTTCAAGCTGATTTTCATCACATACAAGTCTATCTCTCTAAAAAGAAACGTCAATATAATTCCACATTTTTATCTTTACAGCAAAGTTTTGTGGTGACCCAGGAGTACCTGCTCAAGGCAAAAGGGAAGGCAAAAGCTTTATTTATCAGTCAGAAGTCTCTTTCAGTTGTAATCTTCCATTTGTGTTGGTTGGTTCCAGCACTCGTATATGTCAAGCAGATGGTACATGGAGTGGATCATCTCCCCGTTGCATAGGTATGGTGGCATCTTTCCTAATTGGGAGCTTGCTGTGTTTTTGGTTTGTTTTTTTACAACAGTGTTTAACTTCTATGGACTTCAACTGCTAGAATTCTCCTCTGTCCTGTTCACTCAGAATGGAAACATAATGATGGTTTAGTAGCAGTAGTACCAGCGCCTGCCCAGAGCACCGGGTACCGTTCCAATATGGTGCTCCAGAGGGCTCACCCGCCTGCCCGAGCTTCTTACCTGTATTTGAGGTCTTTGGTGCTTCCGTGCACATGCACGGAGCACAAGGGGCCTGCGCTCCGCTGAATAGCTGGAATGTAGCGGAGGCATCGCAAGATGTAAGGACACATGTGCACGCTGAACATGTTTGTGTGCATGCTGTGCGCGGTCATGTGGTGGACGCTGAACTCTGTTGCACCGTACCGATTGCAACGGGATCCAGAACCCACCACTGTTTAGTAGGTTGATTAATATTGCCCAGCAATTCCCTTCACTAAAACTCCAGAGTTGTCCCAGCCAAAAGCAGACCAATAGTAGTCCACAGAACAATGGCCAATGAGTCCACAAGTCCCTGGAAAGTTTCCCAAACAAGACAAATATACCAGGAAAAATTAAATTCATAACAAAAGAGGATTTACGAGACAAGAAAAGTCCAGAGTTTACAAGGCACAATGTGAAGTCAAAGCACAGCATCAATCCAAAGCAAGGCAGGAATCACAATGACCAGGAAATACGCAGCTAGGAAATGAACATGTTCCCAGCCTTGTCTCCATCTGTCTGCTCTGCTAAATAGCCAGCAGCTTTGTATAAGTAGTTGTTGCTTAACACGAAATCAGTTAGTGACTGTTCAAAGTTACAATGGACTTCCCAATTCTACTTTTGACCTACTGTAATCATATGCTCCATTTTGGTGCTTGGCGACCAGTTTGCATTTACAATCATTTGCAGTATCCCATGTTTATGCAATCATAATTTGTTGGCATTTTTTCCTGGTTTCCAGTGTTTACTTCCTGTTTCTGACCCAAAAAAAGCACCATTGGGTATAAATTTTCACTTAATCACTGGGCATTTGCTTGATAGCCAGTCCTTAAGCAAACCAAGGTATTTGCTTAATGACTGAGGCAAAAAAAGCTTGTAAAATTGGTCACATGATATGCCACAATCGAAAGTTGAGAACTATCTATACAGGAAGAATTCCATTCCTGCTCTCCCACACACACTCATGCATTTTTGGAGCTATTCTACATTGCTAACAGGATTCTTAGTGTGGTTTTCCAGCAATGAAGACAGGGGTGGGCTGCTGGAGGTTTGCAGGGGTTCGAGAGAACCTCTAGCTAAGATTCTGTGCCCCCAATGATTTGGGTCCTCATTTTACCCACCTTGGAAGGATGGAAGGCTGAGTTAATCTTGAGCCTGGTGAGATTTGAACTGCCAAATTGCAGGCAGTCAGCAGGCAACAGAAGTAGCCTACAGTTCTGCACTCTAACCACTGAGCCACCATTCTTTCTACATTATCCTTTTATATTTTTACTTTTGCTTAACACACTTCTGTTTTTGCTGTGCCTTTTCTCATTTGGACTATTTACTCCTTTTGAAAAAAAAAAAAACTTCTCTCCCTTTAAAAAAAAAAATTGGCAGCTTTACTCTGTTTGCTGGTGGTTGCAGAGCTTCCAAAACACACATCTCTTCTCACACCTGTTTCAAGGTTGAAGCATTATTGGCAACTCTGCCTTGCTGACGCTGGGGACAAGGCCTAGATAGGAGCACAGGTGCCTGCAATTTTTCCAAGCAGCCTGCTCTTTCATAACTTATAACGGGATGTATAATTGCATCTTCAGTGCAAAATTGCAATCTTACCAAGGAACAGGTTCTTATGCATGGTGGTATTTAGAATTGAATGCAAATTTGGTAATGCTTAAAACATATCCAATGATGTCGGTTTATGATTACTAGCTTGTGACTAACCTAAGTCCCTGTTAGTGAATTCATTCTAAGCATGGCTGCAGGGAAAGCAATAGCAATAGCACTTAGACTTATACTGCTTTACAGTGCTTTACAGCCTTCTCTAAGCAGTTTACAGAATCAGCATATTTGCCCCCAACTATCTGGGTCCTCATTTTACCCACTTGGAAGGATGGAAGGCTGAGCCAACCTTGAGCCTGGGGAGATTTGAACTGCCAAATTGCAGGCAGCTGGCAGTCAGCAGAAGTAGCCTGCAGTACTGCACTCTAACCACTGAGTCACCGCAGCTTATATAGGATATCCATCCTATTGATTATAGTGCCTCTGTATACAAGGAAAATATTATTATATAAATTGTTCTTTGTGGATATTCAAGCAGGGAGGGAAGGTTACCACTGGAAATGCAGAATTTGGCCTGTTGTCTCTTTAGCATTGGCTAGCTTTACTGGAGCAATTTTCACAACCAATAAATAAGCATAAGGTATGAAAGATAAGGGCACAAGAATCAAAGGGTAAAGCATTTGGGTTCACTTTTTTTTGGGCAAAGTAGTGTTCTAAACCTTGCATTAACACTTTATGAAATATGAGTTTCAATATTCAGACTCATTGAAATAAAGACGCTTCTGAAAACTGTTTGGAAGCATTTGGGTATAAATGGACATATGTTTTATAAAAAACTTTTATTTCACAAACTTTCTTTTGTTTTTGGCAAAGAACCTACTCGGACAGCCTGTGAAAACCCTGGGGTTCCTCGTCATGGATCGCAAAACAACACCTTTGGTTACCAGGTAGGAGTCCTAATCTTTATTGAACAAGGAAGAGAGATAACTTCCTTATCTCTCTTGTGTCATCAAAACATCATCATGTAATATATCAGGACTTTTTTCCCCTTCCCTAAACGTGGGCAATCACCCTCTACCATGGACCTCATCCCATTCCTAAGGAGTCTGTAAGAGAGTGTACATAAGCGTACATGTGTACCTACCATCCCTGTTGTACTGTCCCCATTTATTTGTACTCATCTCTTGTGTGTGTGTGTGTGTGTGTGTGTGTATAAATTCCTGTGATTGAAGAGTGGCAAATAGCCAATCCTGTGTCTCCGTTACTCACAGGCTGGAGGGGGGGTCAGAACATATGTGTGTGTGTGTGTGTGTGTGTGTGTGTGTGTGTGTGTGTGTGTGTG